ATATCGTCATAATTATTTGCTTGTCTATCAGTTACCCAATAGTAATTTGTCTACCCACTGTATGCTATTTTCTCGAGAGAAGCCTCTAGTGAAAACTATGGCCCCGGGGTCTATCTTTTATCATATAAAAATCCTAAAAATACCTTGCTGCAATTTTGTTTTATTTATTTTATTTTGTATTTTTGTCAGATATATCTATCAAATTCCATGAAATTTAATCTTGCTTGTAACCGCCGAGGGATTGACAACCCCTTGTTCACGTTGGGTTGCAAGGATTTGTTGTTTGTGTGCACATGCTGCTAATGATGTGTTGCTTGCTTCTCCTACTGGATTGATAACCTTGGTTCTTAACTAAGGGAAAACTTATCTCTATTATACTGCATCATCCCCTCCTCTTCGGGGAAATCCCAACATAGTTCACAAGTAAGCAGGTAACAGAAGGTGTAAGAAGACCAAAAGTCCTAAACGGTAGGTAGGGATGATCACTCTTGCCCCTCCGAGCTATAAGGGCATGATAGGTGAAGAAGACAAAATAAGGTGGGGAGATACAAAAATGGAAGTTTTGTTAAGCAACCTACCCTTTTTGGCATTTCAAGTTCTTTTATTTTTCACCTTTATTATTATATTCCCTAAGGGACCAAACTAGGGCCTAAAATGTTTCCCGTGCATCCTAAAGAGAACGTCAGGCCATGCATTGTATATACATATGCTCTAGGCGCTCAGATAACCCATGGCAAAGAACGGAGACCACTCCCACTGACCGGCCGCACTAGGGTAGTGAAGTCAGCCCCACTGGGCATACAGAGGAGGGGCAACATGAATTGAGTAGCCCCTTGGCGCAAAACAAACACGACATGGCGTGTAGCCAACGAGGAAACCAAATCCCTCTCATGCTCCAACATTCTATGTAGGGTCATCTTTCGGTAAGGGCATGGTGCTTGCAGATCGAGATGGCTCATTAGAGGATACATCCGCATAAACTGACTGGTGAACCACATCGAGAACCCCGAGGACAACATATCTGCTAGATATGCCACAACCGATGGTGGCCCTCAAAGGATGTGGCGATTGGGTGAATTGCCTAGCAGTTGGCATCTACAACCATAAGGCTTCCTATTCTCGGTTGTGCCACTTGATTAATGACATGCCTTGGGTGTGCGAGGGTCAAAGGGGAGCAACCTCACGACTCATATATTGGTTACCCTGGTAACTTCTATGTGATTCCTCCTTAGATTTCTGACTTGAGCATGCAATTGGTTTTGAACCCTGATCTCCTTATGAAACTCTAGGCATGTGATGGGAAGATGATTGTTGCATCACAGGGGCATGTGGCACTGATGAGTTCTCCAGAAGTAATATTGGGACATTACCCTTGACTATGGGGCTTGTGATTTCCCAGAGGCCGGCTGGACGATCTAACAAGTATGCCCGGTGAAGTGTCAAGTCCTAAAGCAGTCAAGTCTAGAAAACCACTACCGAGGATGGCCATATTACCAGCATTTCCGTTGACAAAAGAGTTGGATCTAGCCGACATGCAGGCGATGGACCGGTATGGCACTATCCAACTAAGTGAGAGATGACATCAAGGGGTATCATGGGGAAGGGTACTTGGCCTTTTAGGAAGTCATGAGCTTCACCAATGCCGCATTCTTCAATTTGATCGGAGGCCATGGAGGTCTTGGACCGTGGTCCACCATAAAGAGCGGCAGCGGAGGCTCCAACCTCCTTTTTGACCTCATCGGTCTCTCCATGTCCTGCCCTCCTGCTAGAGAGGATCTGTACATTTTGGAACTCAGAGTGATAGCCCTAGCTGTCCAATGTGGAAAATCCTGGGGAAAGTAGACCCTATAGGGATGACACAATGGCCAGAAGGAAGACGACAATAGATCGGATAGATAGATGTTATGCAAAAGGTAATCCGAAGGGTAATCTCCGATCACATGCTTTATTGTCCGGGGCACGAGGGCTTTCATTATGTGTCCCATCATGACTCTATTGGCAGCAATATGGGGGCAGGAGTCCAAGTCTTTGGGATATGAAATCCTTTCGGTGGGGCCCGATCTGGTACCGACAGCGAGGTAATAAGGCTCACACCACTACCCGTAGTTTGCAATTGTGGAGGAAGTCATGAGGCTTTTCCTTTTTTTGGGTCTCAATACCTTCGACTACAAAATGGAGATGGGTCACATTTGTGATATATAGCACATTTACCTAACTCCAAGTACTTTGTCTAGAGTAAGATTGTCACATACTTAGGATGGGTACCGAGTTACTCAGGGGACTGGTTCACTAAGTTAATGCTCCCTCTTCACCTAAACGTACTCAGGAACGGGTTTGAAGTGGAAAAGGTTAGGTTATACTATCTCGACCCCATCCTCTCAAGCTAGGCCACAATGTCATTTCACATATTGGCGGGCACTTGTTGATGAGCACATGTAAGTTACATGCCTAGTATTGAAGGGATCCTAAGTCTTGCACCTGGATATGCTCGAGGAGGCACTCAGAAGGATGAGGGAATGTGCGGTAAGTCAGGGATATGGCTACTAGTGGTGTTCATTCTAACATTAGAATCACTGGATCCTATAGCATCCTTGAATATAGCGACCCAGTTACTTACACCCATCAACCTATATGAAGGGAAGTCGACCTTGTGTCCAAAAGAATCTAACTTCGGGATCAATATACTTATAACCTAGCTCCCCATAGAGTAGACCTGCACGACTGTAATCATGTCATTTGATCATCAAAGTTCACTAGGCGAGACCTAGGACTTTTACCCAATTGGGGACATGAAACTTGGTAAAACTATGTGTCACCATCATCAACATCGAGATCTCTTAGGATACCATTGTTCCCTCTACTTCCTTCGACGACCTCCAGTACATCATAAGATTGGCGATACATGGTCAACGCTTGATGTTGAAAATTGGCATATCATACCTATACCCTTGTCTATGTGACTGGGTGTGTGATGCATCGTGTGTGAAATAGGTCAATGAAGACTCGAGACACATGTATTCATATTTGAGCCTTCCTGAGTAGCAGCTATATTGTCGACATATTACAATGGCATGGGTGTTCTTGACGAGGTATGATGGAATCTACAACCTAATAGTTTAGAGGAGATTTCCTATCCAACCTATCTGGATCTAGGGTTGCGAAGCTAGTTCAGAAGATTACTAGGATGCTACAACCTGATGATATCGCTTGATGTGAGATACGCCCTAGAGGACGCATAACCTATTTTCCTTTGCAGGGGTCTTTGGCCTCCTCATATGAGGTCAAAATGCCATTGACCATGGTAGGCAGAAACTCCTCTCGAAGCGTGTCTCCTCTTTCCATAGTCATAGGGACACCTCCCTTATCATTGTAGAGCCTAGAAAACTTTTGGGACCTACCTTACATGGAACTTCCCGAGTAAGTCGAACTGCATTATTGGGAATCGTGAAATCTCCTTAGGCATACTATATCGATATGGTCATCATATAGTGGTAGTTACATGGTAGATATACAATACATATGACTACATGTAAAAAAGGTATCCAGAAAAAGGGGTGTGTGGCAATGATTATCCTTAGAGAATCATCTTTGGGCCATCTTATAGTCATAAATGTAGTACACCTAAGGTGATAACGGAGTATATGATATTTAAGTAGTTAAATTTGTGGTGAGTCCATACCCCGTATAAAGGAAAATAGTTGCACATAGGTGTAGTATAAGTTATATTGCACCACACATACTTTTATGCTTGTTTGAATTCAAAATTATATTTAGTATGTATATTTTCATGATCTTTTTATACTTGCATCAAAACATTAAAACATGTAGTCTATAAGCAGACTAATGCCACAACCTACCTGGACTTTTCTACATGGAAATTTATTGATGGAATCAAATTTTATTTATTTGTAGTCAATTAGTATTCTTTTTTATATTTTAAAGCCATCATATTCCAGTCTCATTTACTTGATGCCTCAATATTTTTCTTTTCTTTTTTGAAAAGTGAAGAATTAACAAGTCTACTATTAGAATGTACTTGCACTCTTTCTTTCAACAAGCTACAAGCATGGAACCAAATATGCTTATCATAGCTAACATGAGTAAACTCTCCTTAATTGATCATGTAAGATCAATGTAGGACAACATAACTCGGTCCTACAAAATTAATGTTTTGGATTTTTGTCATCATTGACTAATGTCATAATTACCGTAATATTTCATACTCCCTCCATTCTCTTATACAACGCCACTTCGTTTTTGAGTCAAACTTTGACTTATAATTTTGGTCAACAAAATATGGATTATATGTCATCAAAAATATATCATCAAAAAGTTCTTTGAAATGTGCATCTAATGAAATACATTTTGTGGCATATAACTCATTTTTTGTTGGTAAATTAATGGTCAAAGTTAGACATAAAAATATGAAGTAGCCTTGTATAAGGGAATGGAGGGAGTACTTATAAGATAGAAAGATAGACAGATACACACACGTAATCAAATAGAGCACATAAGAGTGGTACAATTAATTTATTCTCCTATAATCCCGCCATTTCAAAATATAGTTTATTTTTTTTAAGTCACAATTTATAAATTTGACCAAGTTTATTAAAAATTATCAACATATAGATTATCAAATCAATACAATTAGATTCACGATGAAATAAATTTTCGTATCATCGGTATTGTAGATATAGATAATTTTCTCTATAAACATCGTCAAGAAGCTTGAATTTTGAAAGAACCGATACACGCCACGTTATCCAATAGAAGGAGTACTTTTAAGCATCTAATATAACATGCATGCACGATCACACATGCATCCATCAGCTAACCATGGAGAGAATACCATAGTGATGAGATATAGATGATAAACGGTAACCAAAACTGAATTTTGAAACCTAAAGGGTAGAAGTTATAATAGCCACACTAACTATCAGTAAACTAATCATATATACTATAACTAAAATAAAAATCAGTCGCACTTACAGCTTTCTATGGGCATAAGATATTGATGTAGAAGCTTTCCATGTTAATTCAGACTTCTTATGCATGTCCTCCATTTTGTATCTGTCTTTGTTTTCAATGATGTCCTCGAGCCTTGAGTTGATATCCTTTACCTTTACAGACAATTTGCGTCGCATTCTTACTTGTGTTGTAAAGGTTGCAACATATCTCATACTTGGACGAGCCCACCATGGATACCTTTACAACAAATAATTTGCAGAATATTAGAGTAGATTGTTTATGCAAATTAGACCATTACTTTAGGTCTACAACCCGAAAAGCATATAAGCACTACCCAAATATCAATTGGAATCCTAACATGATAAAAAACTATAAAGTGAAACTAAAACTAAAGCCAAAACATAAAGCTCCATGCATATACAACAACACTCCATCATCCATAATCACCAGTCATTAGTCATGCAAGCGTTCCCCGGGTGAGTTTTTTTGATAGAGTTCCCCGGGTGAGTTTGTGTGTCGCTTCTTGCGAGACAGACGTAGTGCCTCACCTCAAGGAAAGCGAGACGTGGGCCGACCCAGTAGTGTTAGTATGTTACTCATCCGTTCGTGAATTTCATTCATTTTGTTTCATTTTTACTTTTGTTTATATTTTAAATTATATATATATATATATATATATATATATATATATATAAGTTACTTTACTTATAATTTTAACAATGTTCATCACACATTAAAAAATGTTCACAAAGTGTAAAAAAAATTTGTAGAATTTTAAAATTTGCACACACCATTAAAAAATCATGTGATTTCCAAAATGCCTGATGTTTGAAAATATGTTCATGAAAATTTAAAATTGTTGACGTAATTTTTAAAAGACTTGTACCATTCAAATTTTGATTTTATCATTTAAAAATTATGTTCATAGACACTTGAGAAATGTTTGAATGTATTAAAAAAATGTTCACGATATTTTTGAAAAATGTTCAGCATGTGCTCAAAATTGTTACCTTGTACTAGAAAAAATTAATATGCATTTTACAAATGCTCAACTTGTATTCCATTAAAATATTCATCGTGTATTTAGAAAATGTTCACGTCTACCTAAACAAGTTCAACTTGTATGAGAAAAATGTTTACCTTTAATTTTTTGTAAGTCGACATGCAATTCAAAGAAAGGAAAAACTGAAGAGAAGGAAAACCCGATAGAGAAAAAGGAAAAGATATAAGAAAAATGAAGGAAAAACTAAAAACAAACAGAAAAAGAAATATATAAACAAAACAATCCAAAACAAAGAAAAGGGACCCAGATCTACACCTGCCGTCGGTCTGGGAGGCGTCCCACTGAACCTTTTCATTCACGCTGGGAGGAACGACCTAGCGAACCTCCCGCAGAAAAAGGGGCATTCGCGCTGGAGCCTCCTCCGTTCGAACGGACGGAGGAGCACTTCACTAAAACTACTTCGTTAAACAAAACGTGGCCAATAAAAATGTCCGCAAAAAGGCACATGTTGAGCAGTGCAAAGGCCTTAAGCTAGGATTTGTAGCTGCAAAAATAAAAAAATATTATAATATAAGTTGCAAGAAACCAGTATTTCGTGAAATACATGGAAAATGTCCATGAATTTAAACCATTTCAAAAAAATGAAGTGAACTGATAATTTCCTTGCCAAAAATGTGTTTAAGATTGCATATTGTACAATAAAATTATACAAAAATAAAGTTGGCATGAAAAACATGTGGCATGGAAAATTTAAGTGAAAAAACAGATCTATGGGTCATAAGAATTATTACCTAGCTAGTCCAAATGAAGCAAATGGTATGTAAAGTTGTTTTCGGGGAAGTGTATGGCAATTGTTTTTAAAGCTTCAAAAAGGTCATAGCAAATGCAAAAAATTTCTTTGAATTTTTTAGTGTTCTAATAAATCTAAGAAATGCCACCTCCTAAACACTTCTATCAAAAAGCAAAAACCGTGCTACAATATTATATTTGCATTGTTATAAAAAGTAGATGTGGCACATTATAAAACTAGATTTCCCATGTTATAGAACATTGCGTTCGTTAGTTTGCCATTACAAAAAAATATTTTCCAACCATTTGGACATGGTAAATTAGCTATTTAGATCACCACAAATGAATAGAAAACTAATTGTATCATGGCAACTATACATATCATGGCAAAAATACTACTCTACATCATGGCAAATTAAAAGTTGATCTCTTTGAATTATCTCTGAAATTTCCATGGCAATGATTCCATGCTACAAAAAAAAATCACATGCTCCAAAATAATGAAATTTCCATGGTTAAAAAGTAAATTTTGAATTGGTCCAAAAGTATGAATTATCAAGGTCCATACGCTAAGTTTGCCATGATGCATAAACTAAAACTTGCCATGATCCATAAACTAAATTTTCCAGGAATACATAAACTAGAATATACCATGGCAACAACTGAGAAAAAATTGGTGACACGGGAAAACTTTATATAAAAAATGAATGGAAGTGTCACGTAGGAGATTTTCAAAAATACTGTTAACTTCAATTTGCCATGACAAAATTTGTGTTGTAAAGATAGCAAATTAGCTCTTTAGATCATTGCAAAAGTTGTAAGATTTGTGCCCTGGCAAAATTTGTACTGGTAAGATGGCAAATTTTGTATTGGTGGCATGGCAAAAGTTAGAAGATTTTTGCCATGGCAAAATTTGTATTAGTGATATTTCAAATTTTGTACTGGTGACATAACAAAAGTTGTAAGATTTTTTGCCATGGCAAAATTTATATTGGTGACATGAGAAAAAAGTTGTGAAGATTTTTGGCATGGCAAAAAGTGTATTGGTTACATGGTAAAAAATGGATTCGAGACAATGCAAGATTTTTAAAGATTGTTGTCATGCAAAATAATTTTAACAAATTATGTACTGTAATGATATTTTCCATGGCAAAAATGTCTATTGGTAACATGGAAAAAAATGGATTCGAGACATTGTAAATAGTTTTAAGACTGTTAACATTGCAAAAAAGATCTAACAAGCTAATTATGAATTGCATGATGCGCAAACATTCTTTTACCATGGCAAAAATGGTTGCCAAACTTGTGAATCTAGACATTCCATGGGTTTGATCAATAGGCCTAAAAAAGTGTCAACGTTTTTAAAATTTACATGGCAAAAACAACACAAAAAACACAATAATCAACAACTTTGCCATGTTCTAGCAACATAAATTTTAGAAAATTGTCATGTCAAATTTATAAAAATTGGCATGGCATTTTTACAAAATAATTGCCATGTTTTATTGAGAACAACATCTATAAATTGCCATGTTTTATTGAGAACAACATCTATAAATTGCCATGGAAGTAGTACTAATAACTTCAGAAACATGGCAAAACATGTTATGTTTTCTTGCCATGGCAATGCAAATATGATTCAACATGGCAACATACTTTGTGTTTCCATAGCAACATATTACGATGTTTGCCATGTAAGAAATAATTTAAATTGGGATTGCCGCAAAAGTTGAGGCCACATGGCAACATAATTTGTGTTTGCATGACAAACAAATATTTTGACTTGCCATTAACTACAATTTCTAAAGATTGCCATGGAAAATTGGTCAATTAGTATCACAACAAAAGTAAACAGTTTCTGCAAATTCATGAACAACTGAAAAAATGAATCATAAAAAATTGCAACATCTCGACTAAGCTAAAAAAGGTGCATCGCCAATAGTGCCGAGCTAGTGACATAAACCAAACCTGTTCAGTAAGACTGCGCAGCGGATGAGGTCCCGGCGCCCGAGCAGCCGGAGAAGATTAGGAGGATGTGCCCATCGCCCATGGGAAGCGCATGGTCGCCGTGTTAGAATAATGCGTGGCCGTGGAAGGCGACGCGAGTCAGGATGGCGCTGTCGCCTCCGGGCGGCCACGCAGCGGACGAGATCCCCAGCGTCCGATAAGTCGGCAAAGACAAGGAGGAGGGTCTCGTCGCCCATGAACACCGTGTTTGGAGAAGACGCGACCGTGGTGGCGCCGAAGCGAGGGATGACACCATCGACTCGAAAAGGGCCGCGTAGTGGATGAGGTCCTCGGCGTCCGAGAGGCTGGAGAACATGAGGAGGAAGCTCCATCGCTCATAGGTAGCACTTCGGGCCACCATGCTCGAAGAAAGACGTGGCTGAGGTGGCTGCCGAGGTGCTAGATGACGCCATCGCCTTCAGGTAGCTGGCACGTGAAGACCTGGTGCTGTTATTGATCCTCCCGGCCGCGCTGTCACGACAGGTGCAAAGTTGCGATGCGAGCCCATCTCTACGGCGCCGGCCCGCCTCCGCTGTGAGACACCATGATTTGGTCACCCATCCTAAAATGCCGCGACGAAGGGAGAGAAGACAATGGGGGAGTTGCGTTGAGGGGGAGGGGATGGAGATGCGAGTGGATAAGTGTTGTCGCTACGAGTGGATAAGCGGTGGAACTCGTTTTGGGCGACCTGGTATTGGCCCAAAATTCTGACGATGGCTACGAGCGCGTTCAGGACGAGACGCGAGAAACCTGGCGTTCGGTGATTATGATTTTCGTAGAAAAAAGCATAAAGGAAAACTAGACCGGAAATGAGATGTAAGGTTCCTAAAACTTGGGCGCGCATATGTCTCGCTTGGAAAATCCTATTTGCCGCCCGCAATGCCGATGGGTGGGCCGGCCTAGTTCGCGGCAGCGCCTGCTGCGCATTCGCTGCTTCGTTCTCTTCGTTAGTTTCTTCTATTCTTTTATTTTTATTATCTTTTCGTTTTTTTCTGATTCTTTCATGTTTGCTGGTACTTTATTTCTTTTTGTTTCCTATTTTTATTTTCCTTTCTCTCCCAATAATACATTAAAATGTTTCATCGTGTATTTTTTCGTTTAATACGTTAATATATGAGTTCATCATGTATTACAAAAAAATTCACTGTATATTAAGAAAATGTTCAGAATATTTAAAAAAATAAATCTTTGTTTATGTGAAAAATGTTCGACGTATACCACAAAAATGTACAATGTATATTTAAAAAAATTTCAGTGTAAAAATATGTTCAATGTTTATTTAATTGTTTTTCATTGTATATTTAAAAATCTTCAATACTTGATATTTTTCGTTTTTTGATTTGCTGCTGCATGTAGTTCTTAAATGTCCGCGCGTCCTAGATCCACAAATACTCAGCGATTCAAGTGGTAAAGAACATTTACTCTCTATTGGGAGGTTGCGAATTTGATTCCTTGGCTATTATTTTTAGAAATCTCGCCCACTTTATTGAATAACAATGTTCATAGATACAAGACTTGTGTCATGAGGATTACCCAACGAAGCATGTCTTCCTATACCTAGATTACAAGTAAACTTGACGCAAGATTATGAGTCTCAAAGTTATGGTTTCTACGCTCATGAACGAAATTACATAAAGTATTTTGCAAAAAGAAACGAAATTACATAAAGTAAAACTAGCTCTACGTTCTGATATTTCATGTATGATAGCCGAGTGCTGACCTCCTGTGCCCTGGTTTATGGTATTCAATACATTTTGACAAATAGAGTTTGATTCCTTGATATAGCGTTGTTTTTGTGGGATTTTAAGTTGTCTAGCTATGACACCACCGAATGGGCCGGCTCATTCAGATCGCGCCATGCGCAAAAGCTCGTCTGTTTGACACTGGCGAGCTACAGCTAGGGGGCTTTCGGCGCTCGTCTCTCGTCTCGCTTGAGATGAAGCGAGCGCTTTGCGTCAGGGCGGCGCAACTGGACAGGTCACGTAGGTTCCAGGTTAGTTCACCTTTCACCCTGTTTTTCCTATGTTCGTTTTTTGTTCTTTCTTTTACTATTATTTTTGAAAATATTGTAAATAAATATATTTCAAAGCATAAAGTTAATAAAAAATAAAAATAAATCTAGAATCTTAAAAGTCTTAATGTAGTGGATGTTTTTGTAAGCATATTTTTTAAAAATATTGTTAGCTTTAAAAAAATGTTTGTGACCTTTAAAAAATGTTCACACGTTTCAAAAAGATGTACTGGAATTTTTTAACAACTGTTTATACAATGTACAAATATATTCTGGTAATTAATATTTTAAAGGGTATTAAAATGTTTCACATGTATAAGAAAAATGTACGAGTAGACATCAAATATATATTTAAAAAGAATGTTAATCTTGTATATGAAAGTTTTAATTCTGTCTAAAAATGTTTTGATGTATACGAAAAATGTACAATGTGTATATTGAAAAAAATAGACATGTGTTGAACAAAAAAGTAACAGATGAAAACCGACACAAAAACAAAGAAAACCAACAAAAGGAGAAAAATAACAAATTAAACCAGTAAAATAAGACTAATTCAAAAAAATGAAAACAAAACCAAACAGAAAAAAAGCGAATAAAAGAAAAAAAACTAGTGAAAACAGAGAAATAAACAAGAAACTAGGGAAAACATAGAAAAAAGAAAGGAAAAAAACCTAGTGAAAACCGAGAGAAAAATAAAGAAAACCTTACGTCCATCTTCACCCATAAATTCACGTATTTTCTGTAACCCTTGTTGCCATTTTTTTTTCATGATTTTTTGCGCCGCCACAAGTTCCTTTTCCAGGGAAATCCCATCTGAAGGCACACTCCAGTGTGCTACCGGATGGGGAATCCATCACCGGAGACATCTTTAATAACTTTGCTACCACAATGACCACGTGTGAGTAGTTTCCTTAGGACCTAGTTGGATGGCATTCTCTCTCCATTGTGATTCAATACGAAGTTCCTTTGAGCTACCTCATAAGATCGAGATCCATATGATGTAATTGGTGTTGTGTTTGTTAGGATACGGTGAATTGTCACTTTATAATCAGATTTTCTATTGAGTTATACTGAATCTCTTATGAATTCTTTGCTTCATAATTGAGTAGTCGTATATGCTCTCTAATCTATTTGTCTACTTTGATCAAGTTTGATGGGTAATTCTTTAGAGGGGCTGTGTATGGTAGTGAGTTCAATCTTGCGGTGTCCATCTCAGTGACAGAAAGGAAACGAACACGTATTGTATTATTGGTACTAAGGGTAAAATGACAGTTTCTTTATCATACTTGGATGATAGTTTTACGGTCTGCATTATGTCATCTTGCTTATTGCTATGTTGGGTATAAACTTAATACCTCGAGATGCATATTTTTTAGGGGACCTCAAGATACATGTTGGATAACAGTCTTTGGTTGAAGTATTAGTTGTAGATATAGTTGTCTGTATATCACATACATAATGCCTACTTATAGTTGTCTCTATCATCAGTCTATATGAGCTCACGTTAGTTTGTTCATATGTTGCACTACTTTTACTCAATCATATACTTAGATCATCATTTGTATAGAAAGCCTACTACATATATTGTCACTAAGGGTGCGGCATGGCTTGTCGTACCACTCTTCCTATCATGGGCTAGAGGCGGCCAGGTCCGTCGGCTTATTCAAAGGATTTTGTTAACACAGTACAGACGTGGACGCTCATACATACATATATACATACAACCACTTTATGAGCGCTCGAACATTTTATCCTCTGAGCATCTTTCAGAGGCTAAGCCGGCATGAACACACATCGCCGGAAGGCTTGGAATAAATCCAGAAAAATGCGAGCACCAGTGTTAAATCTAGGACTTGAAGGTTGATGGGCTGGGGAATTCTCTGTCCTCCTAACCATACAACCACAGGTTGATTAGGCCATCTCCAAGGCGGACCCATAAACTTTCCACAACCGTTCGGACCGTGCTGTCTGGACCGCGAAAGTCATTCAATGCCGACCTGTATCGGTCCGCGGGGCGGACCAGACGCGGTTTCTCCAACAAATCGGAAACAAATGTGGGGAGATTTGCGGAAGTCCGGACTGATCTCAAGCCCGTTTCTGACCGTCCTGGCCCACCAAAAAAATCTCCCCTCTCGCGCGAGCTCCCGCCCGATGTCAACTGCCCGCATTCATGCCGCTGCAGAGCGCGTCGCTCCGCATTGAAGACGGCTTAGGGCGGACGCGACCTCTTACTGTCTCCGCCATTTAACCGGCGCGCCGACCGAGGGCGTCACTCGCTGCACGCGAGTGAACACGCCTCTTCGCCACATTCATACGCCTCCATTAAACCCGTGTGGAAGCTGAGAAACCTACTCCGGCCACACGTCCGCTCATGAGCGGGCTGACATTAAACGCAACGCCGGCCAAGCTTCTCCCTCTATCCTCTATTTATATGAGGCTAGATGTCGGGCAAGAATCGCAAACCATTCACCACTCCCATCTCTTCCTTCACCATTTTCTCCCCTCTTTCGATGGCTTCCGAAGAGCAGTTCTCCAGCATACAAGCCGACTTGGTGGCCCGCCGAGCCCGCCTGTACGAGCGAGGCAGCTCGCTGCTCCACCTCCCGCGCCTGACCCGCCGGAGAAAGTGCCGCCCCAAGCCGCCGCGCGGTTCAGCAACTCGCCGCTCCAGGCCCACTCGATGAGGAGTGGTGAGTTGCTCCACGCTGGCACGGCAGGGAGCACGGTGGCACGGGCGTCGTCGCTGCCATTGACGACCGCGCCTCCCGTGCATGTGACTGCGCCTCCTGTGCTTGCGATCGCGCTTCCCATGCCTGCGACCATGCCATGCAGGCAGAGACAGAAGCCGGGTGTGTGAAGAGCGAGGAGTTTGTGGACGGCACCTCCGCGTCCGCCGCCATCATCGAGGAGAAGTAGAACACGGGAGTCTGCCGTTGCTTGGGTCCTATGAAGGTCACCGCCTAGGCGACACCGGCATACACAGCCGGTGTCTTGCCCGATTTTTCTCTTTCGAGGGCCTCCGTGGATCCCACATGGGCTCCACAGGAGCGGAGGCGCCCCTCCCACTGAAGCATCAGCCGGGGTTCCACTTCGATGAGTGCTGGGGAAGCGAGCCGTCCTTTGCACTGAAGCATATACCTCTGGGGCTATCGACAGTCTGGTGATTAGGCTGCCGGACACGAGGAAGACAAACGGATCCGCGGGCGGCAATTTAGATTAGGTATTAATTATACCTCAGAGCCGTACTAGCACCGTTGATGTAAATGTACTAAAATCCGTCATGTTTATATGAAAATCTGGCTTTTATATGAAATCCGTCATGTTCATATGAAATCCAGCCGTGTTTGCATGAATTTTGTCCGGTTGGTTTGAGTTGTTGTGAAATTGTATGCGGCTAGCGTTGGATGACGTCATCCCGCATCCGTGTTCGCGGACGAATGCGGAAGGTTTTTTGCTGGTTGCCGTTGGAGATACCCTTAGCGTTGTTCGGGAGAATTTGCTATTGGAGGTTTTGGGGTATGTTTGGATTGTGGCCAAAAGGCTACCGTACCAATTTTTTGTCATTACCCTATACTTGTACTTTGTTTGGATCGTGTCCAAATTTGTATCTTTGCCCACTCCAGTTGAATTTCCTTGCCAATATTGGTCAAATCAGTGGCTAGCAAATCCTTGGCCAAGGTTTTGGCCTAGCAAACTTTCGTCGATTCAGAAATTAACTAACCACGCCATTTGGAGAACACACACACACACACCATTGACATACATGGATATATGGATTTTGTTTCTCCTATGAAGAAAGTTGAGAGCACACGACCCCCACACGAAGACAACACATGTTGGGTACGTACGGACAGTGGAGAATCACTATACGTAAAAAAAACACGCATGCAGCAACTAATATAAGTATATGGATATTTACCTTGACATGTCGACCTGGAGGTAGTAGTGATCGACGGCGTCCTCGGCGTCGAAGACGGCGTCGCGGGTCTGCTGCAGCCACACCCTGGTGATCTCGTCGGAGAAGAGGTGGCGCTTGGCGTCGGCCTCGCGGAGGAAGGCCTGCAGGAACATGAGCTTGTCGCGGAGCCTCCGGATGTCCTTGTTCACCGCCACCAGCGCCCGCGCCTGGCTCAGCGCCAGCTCCTGGAGCCTCCCCACCAGCGGCCCGATCAGCGCGTCCGCCATGGCCACAGCTTACTTTGGTGTCCTGGTGTCTCCCCGTCTGTGAACGATATATTACTACGATGGACGATCAGGTGTGTTTCTTTATACAGAGCGATGGAGCTGCTGGATCGCTTTGAGTGGCGCCGCAGGGAAGGATCGGTTCCTCCGCCACGCAAAAACAGAAGCAACGTAGTAGTGCGTTTATTCCTCACCTCTTCCTTGTCTCTATGCATGTGTGCCGGTGCTTTCCTTTTCGTCGACACAAGTCACTTTCAAAGCGCACGCAGGGTGCAAGATGCTCACACCGTCACACGTTACTTTCATCTCATTTTTTTTAGGGGTACTTTCATCCCATGTAGAGGCGCCTCCTACTTGAGGCTATTCGAGCCATTTTTTAATTATTTTGTATTCTCCATTTTTTTTTCATTATTTTGGCATTTTTTTTCAATTTCATGTTTCTTTTGTTTATTTTACTTCCTTTTTCGTTTTTTTGTTCTTTTGGTTATTATTTTACATTTTTGTACATGCCAACAACATTTTTCTAAGACACGTCTAACATTTTCCAATATAAATTAAACATTTTTGTAATGCATGGTCAACATTTTTCTATAAATACTTCAAACATTTTTCAAATACAAAATTAACTTTCAACATTTTTCCTATATAATTTGAATATATTTTAAATACTTGATTAAGAGTTTTCAAATAAAAAGGTTAACCATTTTTTAATACATGGCCAACATATTTTCTTTACACATTCAACATTTTTCAAATGCTTGATTAAAATATTTTAAACAATTGTTCAGAATTTATTAAATGCTTGATTAACATTTTTATATACATGATCAAATTTTTCCATAATTTTTCTAATACATGGTTAATTATTATTTTACACACATTTAACTTTTTCCAATTGCTTGATTATCATTTTTTTAAATACTTGTTCAATTTTTTTCAAATTCTTTATTAACTTTTTTATATACATGATCAAAAACATTAATCATTTTTAATACATGGTCAACATTTTTCTATACACATTTAACATTTCCCAAATGCTTGATTAATATTTTTAAGTACTTGTTCAATATTTTTTTCAACATGCTTGATTAACATTTATATATACATGGTCAAAATATTTCATCATTTTTTAAAACATGATCAACGATTTTTCTATACACATTCAACATTTTTCCGAATGCTTGTTCAACATTTCCAAATATTCGTCACCCTGGGTGTGGAATAGCTATTCTTCAGCCCCGTCTATTTTAACACTAATGCACCATAATTTTTCATTGCGTAAATTTTGTCTTATTTCATGCGTAAAAAGAGAACGTAAGAAAATATATAATCACCATAAAAATAATTTTATGTTACGTAAAAATATAGTGTAAAATATACATAAAATGTTTTTTTCTACTCAATGACCTTTTTTTTTTGTTTTCTGATGCCAAATTTTACGTGTGAATCAATATAAATTTAACGATTTGTATTCCAAATATAATTTATTTATGAAACAGCCGTAAGATTACCTTGGGTGAAGCACTGGTGATGAATAGTCTTACTATATATATATATATATATATATATATATATATATATATATCCAAAGTCTCAGCTGCCTTCTTCTCCCCACTACACTAAAACTAAACTAAACAAAAAAAAGACATGAAATGAAATTTCCTAAGAAAGAATAAATTAGGGGCAATTGTATTATCCTTAATGAAGAAAGAAGTTGAAAATAATAATACTTAGGAGTATTGGTCTTACCCTATATTTAAAGTAAAATCTAAACATTAGCTAAAAATAAAATTTTCTAAGAAATAATGAATTAGTGGCTTGATATTACCATTAATGATGAAAAAACAAAAAGTAAAACAAATGAAGGAAAATATTTACACACAATTGGCATGTAAATTGTAATTTTTGTAATATAAGAATAATCATATAATAGTGCATTTTTATAATCTAATTCATTTTACAAATGTATTGTATAGTTCTTATGTGTATAAAAAAAGGAAAACTGACTCAAAAGATAAGAAAAAAACCAAACACCTCTAAAAACATGACAAAAAATAACTGAACTAAAAATAATCAGGCGACAACTCAATAGCAAAAAGAGCAACAATAATAATAATTCGGTGTATATGTACCTTTTTTTTGCGAGGTGTATATTTACCTCGATAGAGAAACAGAACAATAAGCCCAGATGAGGTTACCAACGCACGCAAGGATGAACAACCAACGTGCACGAGTATTTTCTTCGATCCAATCCTCAACCATATGCACAAGTATTATTCTAGCTAAGCAACCAACGTGCATGCAAGCATCCGCTGGCTACAGCTAGGGCTGCAAACGAGTCAAGTTCGAGCAAGTTGTCTTAGGCTCAACTCAACTTACACTAAAATTTGAGCGAGCGAAGGTCAATGTTGAGCTGTAAAAAGTGACTCGTGATCAGCTTGTAACGGTCTTGAGCTAGTTTCCAGCTAAATAAGATGTTTTTTAATAATCTAAAACAAATTTTCAAATACGGTGGGCCATAACACGACATAAGAAACCATTATATAATTTAACTTATTCTTTCTCAACTGAAGACACTTAATAGCAAGAGATCATGGATGAACTAGCAAAAGAAGAAAAAGAAGGTGTGTCTACTCTTTAACTTTGAGCAAAATAGCATGATATTATTTTCGTGATATAATATAATTTATAACTATGCAGTTTATACACAAAAAAAATACCCTAATCCTTTTTTCCTTCCTTGAATCCTTTAGTTTTAGTCAGTTCATGAAAAAAATTATACTATTAATTTTTTTTATCCATAATGGATTTACCTGGACCAATCCATGAGATTCTTATGCTATTTGGGGGATTTGTTCTTCTACTAGGGGGTCTAGGAGTAGTATTACTTACCAAACCCATTTATTCTTGACACATGGCTGACCACATACCATAGTTTTCAACGTTATAAATTTTATGACATATAATCAATGTACTGTTGGTGAAACTATTGATCAAAGTTCAAGCACGAAAAAACGATGATCTTACATAAATATGGACGGAGGGACTAATATATAAGCAATGATCTTGCTGCCTGAAACATAGTACATACCACATATAGGAAAAGAGATTTACACATGCCCGTGCACCTTAATTTTCGCAAGTAGGAAACAAACGGTGTGCTTACTAGTAGCGTGCAACATCCATTATCAGTGGATCCGCGTAGGGGCCGTGGAGCCACCCATCGGCGATGAACCTATAGGCGGATTCTGTGAGGTGGAAACTATCCCATTGAAGTGCCCCTGAAGGATCTGCGCACGCCGTCGCACCCGGCTGGCCGCACCCTGCGTTGAAGTCGGTGTTATAAGGAGGGCCTCCTGCGCCACAACATGTGAGAAGGGTTGTGCTGCTGTTCAGTCCTGCGAGATGCCATGGGTGATTAAAAGCATATGGCTTGCCAGGTAGCAAAATGAATGGAAGAACAGAGGTCTCGCAAAAATGAAATAATCACTTTATCTTTATTTTTTCATTTAACCACTGGTTTCAGGCCAAAAACCAAATGAATCGCATTTTTACTCCCCTAGCACTATTAATTCTGAACTTGGTAAGACCTAAATCCACTTTAAAAAGACGAACTCACCAAAATGTCTCGGCTTTTGTATGAATGCAAGGACCGGTCGGTAGTACTCGGTGGCAATGATCTTCGTATGTGGGTACTTGTACCGTAGCACCTTGATCCGTCGTCGGAGGAGAGAGTTCTGGTAGCGCCCCAGCTTGTTCATACTCTTCAGGCATCCGTGCCCATCATACTCCATGTTGTTTGGGCTAGCGAGCATCGTGAGAATTGCCGGTAGGCAGCCAATCGGGAAGATGTCTGCCACAACTATGTACTTGGCGCCATGCTGGATCAGCATCTGTACAGGGTTATCAGTTTCTTAGTTTATCTTGAGTCATAGTACTATAACATATACTCCCTCCGTTCCTAAATATTTGTCTTTCTAGAGATTTCAACAAGTGACTACATACGGAGTAAAATGAGTGAATCTACACTTTAAAATATGTCTACATACATCCGTATGTTGAGTCCATTTGAAATGCCTAGAAATCCCTAGAAATGGATGAAAATGGATGTATTTAGAACTAAATTGCGTCTAGATACATTCATTCCTCCGACAAGTATTTTCGGACGGAGGGAGTATTTGGGAACGGAGGGAGTACAAATGTGTTCGGATCCAAAGTATTTTGGAGCTGGTGTGCAGTCGCTCGGGTTGGCTCTATTTAAATTATAAACACTCCCTCCTTTCTTAGAAACAAATGTATATGTCGGGACATCGACCCGGTTTCCTTATGCATCTTTGACTTTTTTTTTTGAGTTGCAGACCATTTTTTTTTCTTTAAGTGGATGTCAATAGAATTCTGTAAAAATTTAAATTATGAAAAAATAAGAGTAATCTAAATACACTATTTTTTACTTGCAAATTCGATTTTTTATATATTAATCAGTAATAAAAACTTTTGACGCCACACTTTCTACCAAGTCGTTTATTTAAGAATGGAAGCAATACTCTTATTGGTTACATCTAAAATAACTTCTTATTGGTTATGAGATTACAAATTAAATTCTGGAAAGTAAGAGATGCTGCTCACTCACTTGCGCGAGCCGCTATGCAAATCTAATTCTAAAAAGAGATGAAAGACATATATGTTTGTTCACAATGTGTGGCCACGCTTTGGTCAGTGCATCTCAAATACTTTGAATTGGTACTATAGCAAAGCAAAAAAAAAAAAATACTACTACCTCCGATCTATAATAAGTGTCACAGTTCTGAACTTTGGATCGGGGAAGTACTTATTTGTCTAATTCAGTTCACAAAAGGAGAAAAATTCACTGTAGGTCACAAAACTTGAGCCGGGTGACACTTTGGTACCACTACTTCAAAATACCCGAACTACGGTCCATGTGCTTGCGCACAGGGTTCACTTTGGTCCGTATGTACGATTTCGTCTACGTATTCGCTGACTTGGCCGAGTCAGCGGCCGCCAGCTAGGCTTTGACCGCCAGCTAGGCTTTGACCGCCACGTAGTCGATCCTAGGGTGAATACTACTCGATACGGGGTTATTTTTGCAAAAACGCCATGACCAGCTCCCGACCCGTGCGCGGCTTCTGCTTCGGCGACACCGCGCCCGACCCGTGCCTCCGCTGCCTGTCCAACGCCGGCAGAAAGATCACCGACCAGTGCGGGGACGCCAGCCGGCGCGCGGGCTTCCTGAACGACGGCTGCTTCCTGGGCTACGCTGACACCAGCGCGTCCTCCGCCGGCGCGGACGACGACATCGGCGCGGTGACCTTCTCCGGGGACGCCGTCCCTCGCCTCGACGCCGCCGAGGTGCAGAAGCTCGTGGCCGTGGCGCAGTCCCTGGTCCCGCGGGCCGCAAACTGCCAGGTGGCCTCCGCCAACGCGACCACCACGGCGAGCAACGGCGACACGGTGCGCGTGCTGGCACAGTGCGCGCCGGACCGCGACGCGGCAGAGTGCGCCCGGTGCCTGCGGGATTCGACGCTGCAGGGCACCGCCGGTGCCGTGCAAGGAAGCGTGGCCGCGGTCCTCGGCCTCGACTGCTACCTCCGCTTCGAGATATCGGCACTGCCGCCGCCCGTGGCAGAGTAGATCCGTGAGTAGCTGATCTCCATCCCGTAAATTTCTTGACGATTCTTGTTTGGTTGATGACTAGTTTTGCAGTGTCTAACCTTAATCTTAGGCAAATCGTGGCTGCCATAAAAAAAGGTGGCGAATACTACTCGATGGTGGGCTTCCTCAGGATCACCATCCCTCGACGCGTACTGGCTCCCCCCGCTCAGGCGCACCGGCGAGACCTGCAGCGTTGCGGTGGAGGAGCCGATGGAGTGCTTGGGCACGAGGCTGGTGAGCCCGGATCCCCTCCTCACGACCCCATCCCCGGGGCTCCCGCCGCCAGCTGCCCGTCGCTGCCGTGGACGCGGCGGCAAGCCAGAGCGGCCGCACCGCGGCGTCGTCGGAGGCCAGCTGGAACAGCCGCTCCTGGCTGCTCGCCAGCAACCAACCAGTCGCCGTCCGCGGCTAGGCAGCACGACAAGGGCTATGGCGGTGGCGTCACCGGCGTCGTCGTCCTAGATACGATGGACGATCAGCATCACCGCGGCGGCAAGAAGCCTGCTGCCGGCGCCTTCGGGCAACGCTGGGGGATCTTCGGCCGGGACTGCCCCTGCGCCGGCAGGAAGGCGGTCACCGTCGACGTCGCCTCCGAGCCGACGACCCCGAGGATCCACGCGAGGTTCGACGCCGGGGGGGAGAGCGTCGTCTTTAAGGCCAACGGGCTGCCTCCTCCGTCTCCAAACGACGAGCCCGGTGTGATGAAGATTTTTACGACGGGGAGCTGCGCGTTCCCGCTTCGCGCCAACAACAACATCCTCGCCCCGGCGCAAAATAACGGCGTAAACGCTTCGTTTCCCGCTTTCCCGCCCGACGTTGGCCGCCGCGTCGTGAGCTCTGGCGGATTCACCTTCCCGGTGATCAGCCCGTCGAAGGCCAGCAGCAGCAGCGTCGTCGACGAGCCGCCGCGCGAGTCGCTGGAGGTGTTCCGTCCCATCAACGAGGACTCGGTGGTGCTCGTGGACCCTCCGCCGCCCCTTGCCGCGGCCGGCGGTCATGGCGGCGACGGACGACGACGCAATGAGCGACGCGAGCTCGGACCTGTTCGACCTGGAGAGCTTTGCAGCGTCATCGTCGTACCCGACCACGTACCGTGGTCGCAGTAGCCGGCGCAACTCGGGGGACGACGACTTGGCGTACGCCGCCGCCGCCGCAGAGCCAGCGCTGAGCGAGTGCATGTACGCCAAGCGACGCGAGCGTGGTGTGGAGCGTGGCCAACTTCTCGAGCGCGGCATCCGCGTGCGGCGTCGAAGAGTTCCGGTTCGTCCCGCCGGGGTCCGCCGCCGGCCACGACGGCTTCACCGCCGGCATGTCCCGAAGCGCCGGCCGCAAGAAAGGCAGCGGGTTCTTGGACAGCTGCCGGTGCGAGAAGGCCGTCAGCGTCGGGCCGACCCCGGTCCGTGTGGCCCGCCCGCCGGCGGTCCCGGCTAACAAGACGGCGATGGGGCTGGAAAGCGGCGGCGTCGCGCTGTAGCACAACCGCTGCATCCACATGCCGGTGCGGACGTGATCGATGCGCGCGCTCCCCGTCTGGCGCCTATTACAATTAGCCTATACGAAAGTACAGTACGGTACATAAATCTCTTGTTTGTTCCAGGTCCGTACCAGCCCCCGCCGGACGACCTAGAGGAACGGCACGCCGCTGCCGGCGATGCCCCAGGCCGTCTCCACCAGGTCCCTGGCCGACATGGCGTTTTTGCAAAAATAACCCCGGATCGAGTAGTATTCACCCTAGGATCGACTACGTGGCGGTCAAAGCCTAGCTGGCGGCCGCTGACTCGGCCAAGTCAGCGAATACGTAGACGAAATCATACATACGGACCAAAGTGAACCCTGTGCGCGAGTACATGAACCGTAGTTCGGGTATTTTGAAGTAGTGGTACCAAAGTGTCATCTGGTTCAAGTTTTGTGACCTACGGTGAATTTTTCTCTCACAAAAGTACCTTTACAATTAACATACTTTTCATCATCATAGTGCCAAAATATCTACTACCTCTGTGCTGGTTTATTGGTCCTCTTTGTATTTTGTGCCAAACTTTGACCGTAAATTTAAATAACAATTTATTAGTTAAATTTATGGTCAAAATTTGACACAGAATACGTAGATGACTAATAAATCAGGACGGATGTAGTATTCCAGTAGTCTTGTTTGACTCGTTTAAAAAAAGTTTAATTAGTTTAGAAATTAATTGTTGGGAATTCTTCTTCTAATGCACTCGGCTCTGTGTCTCTAATTTTTATAGCACATGAGTCCATGACTCCATTGATTCTAGCCACATATCAAGAACAGACTTTTCAAATGATATGGATCTGGTCACGACGTGCCACAAGCCCACAACCAACATATAAGAAGCCTTGCGTTACAAAATTCAAAATGTCAAAAGGAAAAACATGTGCAGGATGCGGTTAGTTGTGGGAATTAAAGGGAGTGGACTTCCATCCGTAGTACCTCTAGGCCTCGGGAGATGCTGTCAACAATTTGAGGAGCATAAACTCTGGCTTGCTCCACGGTCCTGGTGGACGAAATAAGGAAGTTGTAGTCATTTCCTCCAAACTCTCCCATGACAAATAGGGAGCTCCCGAAGCAATCAGCACCTTTTCCTGCATGCCATGGACGTACGATGAGCTAAATCACTTCACTTGGACATGAAAATCATGTGGTGATTAAGGACTGATGTTTAATTAGCGGCAGCCTACCCTTGCAGAGCGAAGGCTCCAGTTTCTGGAACCAGTCGAGCTGATCGTGGAGGGAGCGGTTGATCGGAGGGTCCACCGTCAAATTCTGTCCCTGCAGGTATGTCAGGTTCAGAGCCGGCGCTCCTGCCACGGCGAAGTTCACTCCGGCGGAGAAGTTGCTCCCCTTGGCGAGGTACGGCGGCACGAAAGGCAGACCCAAAGCCTGAGCTGCAAAATGAAGCAACGTTATATGCAAGCCCTCTGTCTCTGTCCGTGTGTCTTTTAGCTAGTCAGGATCAGCAGAGATTGACTTGTAGACACTAGCTAGTTGACTAAGTTCGGCAGTGCATTTGTGGTTAGGTTACCGATGAAGTCCAGCACAACGCGGCCGTCGGTGGCGCGCCCGGTGGGGTAGCCGAAGAAGCTCGCCGTAGGGGAGGTTGTTTAATGGGTTCGGGCCGGGAAGGACGGGATCAGCCCACCTGACCAAGTTACCCGTGTCGGCATAGGAGTCGCCGAAGCTGATTATGGAGGTGAAGCGGTTCCGGCCGCCGCCGGAGTAGGCGCCGCGGGAGCACGACAGGATGAAGAGCAAGAGGAGCGCTGCGTGGGGTGTTCTCATACTTGGTTGCTTGCTGCTTGTATGTTGGGGCTTCCATTCTTGCTCTCCAAATGCTACATATAAGCAAAGCGTATATACCATGCTAAACAAAGCAAAGGTTAGTTAAAGGACACATATAGTATGGTTTTCCAATAAACTAAATGTAAGTTGCGCGGGAATCTTGTAACAATTTGATATTACGTGGAGAAAACTTATATTCCGGCCCACACCAACTTGACAGTGGTTAACATCTGCTTCTTATTTATGTCTAGTTGGGCTGGTTATTAACGGCCACTACTATGCAGGCCAATTATCCTTCTTGTCGAGAACAAAATTTACAGCCAATAATTCCATTGTAGTGTTGGTCTTTTTTGGGTGAAAAGGGTATTCCCTCATATCCATAATTTCATATTAAGTGTCACTGTGTACTAAGTTAGTGTTTATACCATGTCAGTGATAATTAATATGGATCGGAGTGCGTATCTTTTTTGTAATGCTTCAAAAAAAAAGAGTAGAATTTTTGCATCATTACATTACTAATGACAGTTGACACCTTGTCAAAAACTAAAACTAGAAAATGGTGTGTCACTCAAAATTACAACCAGGGAGTGGACTAGTTGAGCAGTCAGACACCAAGAAATAAAAGCAAGGCTCAGTTCGTTGAAAAGGGCAAGTCATCGTCGCCGTTGTTGTTATGTACGTTTTAAATGTACACAGTATGAACATCTCAAATTTGCCACATTTGCCGTCCATGCGACAATTATATTCCGTCCCACATCACCTTGATAGTGATATGATTAACACGACTGAATGTGCATCCTCTTTCGTTTGGTCCTTTAAAGCGTGTTGTTTTTGGCAACTGCTAGCTTCTTCTTTATGTCAAGTTGGGCTGCTGACAACAATTGCATTTTGTTTATGCCAGTTTTGATTGGATTTTAGCACCCTCTCTGTGTATTATTCTCATAGCTAGATCGATCGCTTGATTTTCTTTATGTCAGTTTTGGTTGGCATTTTAGCACCACCAACTGTGTGTATTATTCTCATAGCTATATCTCTTGATTTTCTTTATCCGGTGCGTATGGGTTAAATGTACAATTGTCCTGTGCTCCGTGGACTGGTGTATGTGATACTCCTATGTGAATCCCCTTTTCTCTTTTCTTTTGTATAGTCTATCCGGTGTCATACAAGTCCTATACCAATATGGTATGGATTACACAATAAGGCTACAATACGAAGTCTAACACCCTCCCTCAATCTCAACTCACTCCTGAAGCATCTAGGAGGTTAAGATTGCGCTTACAGACCTCAAATATGGTAGAAGGTAGAGGCTTGGTGAAGATGTCTACGAGTTGATATTTTGAAGAGATAGGAGCATCTCCAGTCATTGGCCCCCCAGGAGGCGCTAAAAATCACCCCCTGTCACCGGCGCTAAACCGCGCGCTGGGGGCGCGATACCCCCCAGTCGCGGCCCCCACGTTTTTTGAAAAGTTTAAATCTAACACAAACACGGCGCAAATTCAACCAAACTTCAGCGAGTTCGTTCATATTTAAAAATATTTTACAAAAAAGAAAAAAACTACTAGGTTGCTCCTCGTCGTCTCCCTCGCCGCTCCTCGCCGCCCGCCGCCCTTGCAGTTCTACATGCCGAGGAGGCTGTAGAACCGTGTGTAGTCGCCGCCGTCGTCATCGTCGCCGCCGCGGCCGCCTCCGCCGCGGCCGCCGTCCCTGCTGCAACTCTCCCCCGGTTGGCGCGGCGGGTTGGACGGTCCGGGGGCGTCCTCGTCATCGTCGCTGTCGAGGATCACGACGCCGTGCTCGTCCTCGCGCCCACGTTTGCGGGCGGCTATCTCCTCCAGGGCCCGGCACTGCCGAACCATCTCGTCACAGAGGTAGTCGTCCGGTGCCCACTGTAGGGCCTCCTCGCCGGAGAAGCCGCGCCGGGCTATCTCCTCGTACTCCGCGGGAAGGCCGGGCTCCGGCTTGGGCGCGACGAGGACGAGGCGGCCAAAGGTGGGGTGGAGTCGCCGATGCGGACGCCGGAGCTGCGGGTGCGCCCACTGACAGGCATGTCCTGGGGTTCCGGCTTGACGGGGCGGAGGCAGAGAGAGCCGGACGAGCGGCCGGACAAGGAGGAGGACGCCCCGGGCTGCTCCATGTGCCTCGGCGTCCATGAGCTCCCACGTCGGCGAGAGAAGGACGAGGGAGCGGGGTACTCGAGCCTCGGCGTGTTGCCTCCCTCGATGTACTCGAGGACGGCCTCCAGCATGCGGCCGGACACGTCCCACCATCGGCGCCGCCCCTCGGAGTTGAGCCTTCCGGAGGGTACGACGCCGTTCGTGGCCTTGAGCTGTTCGGCGTGGCAGAGGCGTAAGTATGGCTCCCAGAGCGGGCTGTCGGGGACGTACCGCGGTCCTTCCCTCGCCGCCCGCGGCAGGGAGGCGCGGATACGCGCGATCTCCGCACGCCGCGCCGCCCCGGTGGGCGGTGGTGGCATCGGGACGCCGCCGGCGCTGATTCTCCACGCCCCGGGCACCCGCATGTCTAGCGAGACCGGGTACTCGGCCTCGAAGAGGAGCCGAGTTTCGTCCTCGTGAAGGTGGCGGCGGCCGAAGCCGTTCATCGCCGCGCCGTCGCCTGGGAAGCGCTCGGCCATGCTTTGAACTGGAGACGGCGAGAGGAGAGGGAGGAAGGGGGAGAAATGGCGCGTCGGCGGTGGAGGCTCTGTGTGTGTCTCCGGCGCGCTGGGGGTCGGCTTATATAGGCGAAGGTGCCGCGTACGCGTGCCCGCCGCGTGTACGCATGGCGGGCGAGGGGACGCGCGTCGTCCGGTCTTCACTGCGCTGCCCGTGAGGCATCAATGGAGGCTGACCGGTGCGGCAGCGCACGGAAGCTTTGACATTGATGCGCCGCGGGAAACGAGGCGATGAGGATGACGAAGCGGCGAGAAGAGAGACGAGTCGCTGGCAAGGAGGGCCCGCGGCTCTTTCGTGCCAAAAACGATTCGCACGGCACCCCCGAGCGCCCCCCAGCGCGCCGGGTTCGGGTTGGGTCCGCCGGCGCCAATTTCGGCCCAAGCCGGCGAAAACTGGGCCCTTGGGGGCGCGACTGGGCCGATTTTTTGGCGCTGGCGACCGAAAAGTCGCCTGGGGGGCCTTGTTGGGGGCGCAGCTGGAGATGCTCTAAATCTGACTTGTAGTAGCTTCTGTGCGACACGTTCCCTCACAAAATGATAGTCAATCTCAATGTGTTTAGTCCGTGCATGGAATACCGAGTTTGATGACAGAAACGTAGCACCGATGTTGCCACACCAGATGACCGACGGATGTGGCTGAGCAACTCCTAGCTCTCGAAGTAGGGACTCAATCCATATAAGTTCAGCAGTCGCATTGGCAACTGACTTGTACTCTGCCTCTGCGCTCCTGCGGGAAACAGTGGCTTGCTTGCGTGCACTCCAGACGATCAGATTAGGCCCCAAGAACACTGCATGTCCCCTCGTAAATCGCCTGTCATCTGGACACCCAGCCCAATCAGCATCTGAGAATGCAGAAAGAACTCCAGAGGAACTGGGGCGCAGATGAAGACCAAAGGAGACAGTGAGACGCACATAGCGCAATATGCGCTTCACAGCAGACCAATGCACGTTAGTAGGTGCATGAAGATACTGACACACCCTATTAACCGCAAAGGAGAGATCAGGACGTGTGATCATTAGATACTGCAGGCCACCAACAATACTCCTGTACTCGGTAGCATCCTCAGGAGATAGAAGACTACCATCAGCAGATGAAAGTTTGTCAGTGGAGGACATGGGCGTAGGCGATGTCTTGCACTTGAGCATACCAGCACGGCGCAGAAGATCAAGAGAATACTTCTTCTGGGTGAGAGCCAAACTGCCACGGGACTGATGAGTGACTTCAATACCCGGGAAGAAATGAAGTTGTCCCAAATCTTTAACTACAAAATCACGACCAAGCGCAGTCACAAGAGCATCAGCAGCCGTCGGAGAGGAGCTAACGAGGACAATATCATCCACGTACACATGTAGGTACATGGTCACACTCGATTGCTGAAATAAGAACAATGACGTATCAGCCGTCGAAGGAATGAATCCATGAGTGCGCAAAGCTGAAGCCAGGCGAGCATGCCAGGCACGACGCGCCTGTTTCAATCCATAGAGAGCCTTCGTCAGACGACAGAGGTGATAAGGTTGAGTGTTATCAACAAATCTAGGCGGTTGCCTCATGTAAACCTCCTCTTCAAGCAGTCCATGTAGAAAAGCATTCTAC